CCTAATTAGAGACTTAATTACGTATTTAACCGTTTAAGTGCCACAACCTTTCTTATTTCCGGATCGAAAATTGCCAAGCGGCGCAATACAGGCTGTATTATACAGTAATGTCTCGTTAGACTCACAAATTTGTTCAGGATAAGTGCACAGGTGCGGACAGTAGAGCAGTGCGTATAGTAGCCGACTACCGTGCTGAGAACCTGGGTTCGAATCCTGGGCATTCGACCCGGTTTTTCATGGTTGGTTTAGGACGAGTTAAAAGAAAAAGCCCACAGCGCTAAAAAATAAAGCAATGAAAAATAAAAAGAAAGAAGGAATTAATAAGAAAAAGGATAAGTGCACAAAAACCAGCCCCAACACTGTCGCTGCCCTTGTCTACGTTCGACGGGTGTCGGCAAACATCAAACAATATACTATGTCCAGGTTAGTCGCACAAAGTCAGTCCCGAGCTAGTGCAGTTACGGAGACATAACTGTACAAAGAAATAATCGACGTCGAAAAAGTCCTTGTCTACGTTGGATGGGCTTCGGCGAACATCAAACAATATACTATGTCCACGTTAGTCGCACAAAGTCAGTCCCGAGCTAGTGCAGTTACGGAGACATAACTGTACAAAGAAATAATCGACGTCGAAAAAGTCCTTGTCTACGTTCGATGGGCTTCGGCGAACATCAAACAATATACTCTATATCCACGTTAGTCGCACGAGGTCAGTCCCGAGCTTGTGCAGTTACGGAGACATAACTATACAAAGAAATAACCGACGTCGAAAAAGTCCTTGTCTACGTTCGATGGGCTTCGGCGAACATCAAATAATATACTATATCTACGTTAGTCGCACGAGGTCAGTCCGGAGCTTGTGCACTTAGAGAGACATAACTATGCAAAGAAATAATCGACGTCGAAAAAGGCAAAAAACGCGATCGACTCGTGCACACCAGGCGCATTAATGCGCGCGCCGACACTCTACTCCGTGGCCCGCGTACATTTTTTATTGGCACGCGCCCGTGCGAGCCCTTGCGCGTCGAGCGTGCTCGGTTTTATTCACGTTTCATCGACGGCACGAGGCGAGAGGCGAGCCCGAGCAGGAACACGGAATCGATGCGGCTTCTGCAACGAGTTGCATCCGCAAATATCCGCGTGTTTCTCCGGCTGGAATCCCAAGAATTCTGTTGTTTCGAACGTCTCTTCGCGGACCGTATCTTTCAGCCTTTCGCGGAAATCGAGCTGCCAATTAACCGGTAGATTTATTTTCATCGGTTTCCAGCCAAACCAAACAGTAACGAGGAGTAGGAGGTACGGTTTCGGTTTGTTGAAGATTCTAGAGACGTAACGGCGCGTCGTATATACGTATGATGTAACTATGACGTTATCGTATGGCCGGCGTTGACTGTGAGTCAGAACACGGAACACAATCGTTCTTTTTTTAGCGTCGTTCTATGCTTTAATATTTAGTCAAATTGGAGACAAAGGGTGGCTAGCCTCGAGTCACAATGGGAATGCAACGACCGTCTAAATAACAATGCTACAGCCAAGCCCTCGGGACGCGTGCATTGTTCGAACATTGAGCAACGTGTTAGAACCGTGGCTTATCATTGGTGCGCGCGGTTGACATGATCTCGAGATCCCCGAAGAGTATCCCCGTTGATCGAGATTACACGTTCCTGTCCTCTCTCGTCAATTTACCGAATCAAGATCAACTTACGAATGTCTAGCGATTCCTGAACTTTATGAAGAGCGTCCTCTAAGGAAAAGGTAATTTCTGCGATATGAAACACTGTTACGTGCATTGACCCTTTAATTACTGAATTTCCTACAAGTTTTTAAAATCCAGGCGTCCATCTTGGTCTTATATCATCTTATAGAGTTGTGACTAACAAGCTTCCAAAAGAAGAGAAGCTTGTGCTGCCATCCAACAATTAACACTTTCGCTGCGGACGAAAATAAGTAGCCGTTCGCTGAGAGTTGCAATTATGATATTTTTTTTTTTAATGAAAAATTTCTTACAAATGTTCTAATATGATTATTTTGAAAAACATATATTTGTGCTGACTTATGTTATATGTAATATGATTGCCGAACAAAAGAAATGAGAACTGAAAAATAATAAAAACAACCGTATATTTTCAGTTGGACGCACATGTGCGTCATCCGCAGCGAAAGAGTTAAAAACAAACTTTAACTTGTAACTCCCGCTGATAAATAAAGGACTAATGAAAAGTCCGGTCAGCCGTTGTTACCGTGACCGACGTGTTAAATACTTAACATCAGCCTATCAACATCACTCCTTTACCGAACGATCCTATAATGTGCAAAATGATAAGAACTCATCGTAAACGAGGTGCCTTTTATTAGGAGACCTCTCTAAGGGTCTTTCATTTAAGTTCGTTATATCTAATATAAGACTGACCGCAATGTAATATAAATAATATTAAGAAATGGCTATATTTACAAAAAATGTGATGTAGAATAAGTTAAACGTTTATGTATAAGAAAAATACCAAAATCTAAATAATTAGTTCCTGAATATAAGACTGAAATGTAATAAAAATAAGAAATTGTTAAAGAAAAAACTGTAAGAAAAGACAGTGCAATGTAAGAATAATTCTTTTATGCACTTAAATAAAGAACAAGAAATATAAACTCTCTAAGGATCCCTCTATAGGACACCCTCCATAAAGTTCGCTCTTCAAGGCTTTTACTACATAGCGACGTATCTAATAACGATGGCGACTAAACTATCATCGATGACAACCGCAGAAGGTGGTCGGGGGTCACGGAGAGACCGATGCACTCGAAGCAACCGCATATCGGTGCTCGACTAAGAAAACGTGGCATGATAACGCCTTTTGGCAGGCATATGTCGCCCCGTACACTCCTCCTCCTGGCCCAGGGCCAGAGCCACTTCGAAATCCGCCACGACGTTTCTTTCTTAAACGTTCGATCGCTAAACCCAAGTTTCCCGGTATTTGACCGTCCGAAGAAAACACTGGCGATCGCAAACATATCCTACGCGAATGACTCAACTTCCTGAACCTGATCGTCAAGACACGTGAAAAGAAGAAAGACAACTTTGCTTTTTAACCGACTTGGAAAAGGAAGACGTTACTCAATTCGACATGTATATATTTTTCTTTTTTTTGTGTATGTTACTCGATGACGCCGAGATGGCTTGACCAATCAGGATGAAACCTGTTACATCTTGTACAGCATGTCTCCGGGGTGCTCCCATTATCAACAAATTTGGGGATTTCTCATTTTTTTCTGAAATATTTTCCGTTAGGCAAACCGTATCGTGAAAATGTTGACGAGTGCTACGATTGCAAGAATTTCAGTTGTTTTTGTCTGTCGAGTAACGGACGAGTATCTTTCACTACGAATAAGAATTTTCCCTTTCTTTATCGTCGGTATCGATACGAGCGATGACGTATCGGGTATGAAGCACGTAGAGACCGACCTCTACGCGAGAGGAGATCTTGAACTCGTTTCGGGAGAAAAGTACAGGAGTCGACCGGTCGAACATCCTCCCGGGGAAGAGGTATTTGGACGTCGACCAAGAGGCCCGATATAAGCCACCCAGAGAGGCAAGAACATGCGAGAAGACACGTCTTCCCGATCGTCGAGGCTGCTCGATACGGCTTTCCGAGCCACGATTTCCTTCGGCCGAATTAGACGTCTTCCAGGAAAACGAGCCACTCGCGAACTCCCTCTCCCGCTATTTTCTCTCTGCACTCCACGGCGCGTACAAATTCTCGCGTTAAATTCTACGCAAACTGGTCACCGAACTTCTTCGAAAGATCCCCTGTTCTAAAGAAAGTCGAGAAATTCGAGTATTCTCATTTGAATCTCCCGTAGAGACAGCTGGCGTAACTCTTTTCGCGACCGCTAAATCTCGCGATCCACGTTATATTTTTGCTTAAAAAAATTCAATGTTACAGTTAAAGGCTGAATAAATATATAGTAAATATTTGAAAGCTCTGTGTTTTTTCATTCCGTCATAAAACATTCCGGAAAAACGTTGTAAAAAAATGGCCGTCACACGGGATGAACCCCTCAAATGCACAAGTTCGGGACTGAACTTGTGCGTTTATCGTAGAATTCGTATATTCTCTGATGTTTGCTGGCGAGCTTCGAACGTAGAGAAGGACAGCGAATAAAGAAGAGAACGGAGCGAAAAGACCGGGGTACGTCGGTGAGTTTTATCGTTGAGCTTTGTGTTATCGAGATATCCGATTCCAGATCATGTTACACTACTCAGCGATCGAACTCCTCGACCCCTCAAGGGGTGTACACCCCAGTGGTGGGGATGGTTTCAGTGCATTTATGGTAGAGTAATATTATCGTATAATATTACCATAATATTTGAGTATTTATAGAGACTTTCGATTGGACACTTGAACAGCTGTTTGAGCGGAAAATACCCCGTCTTGGATCATGTTACACGGCTCGAGGATCGGACACCTTGCATTTATTGTAGAGAAATTTGTGCATTTAAGGAGACTTTACCGTACACCTATACTGGTTAGTTCTCGCAAAACTCCAACAGTAGCCATTCGAATAGCTAGAGAGCGGTATAGTCGGCGTGTGGGTCGGTTGGCTGGAGTGGGTCGCACCGTGGCTGTTCGCGCCTCGTTACGATGTCAATTATAAAACGCCCACCCTACAAGTAGCCTTATCTCGCGAAGAAAGCTCCGAGGAACGCGCTCGTACGCGTTCAACGTTTCGAAACCATCTCTAAAAATGAACAAAATAATAAGTAACTTCGAAGCTAAAGATCCATGTTCGCATCCCAAAATAATAAAAAAACAGCAGAGTTCAGTGACCTGTATTTGGTACAAAAATTCTAGAACCGCAGAACGATGACTTAAACTACCCATAATTTTATATGGAGTACGTCGCACTCCAATTTGTCTCCAATTCCAAGTCGTAAGACCAACCTGGAGATCGATCTTTTCGCCTGAAAAATACAGTAAACGACAGACACTGGTTAAACAATTTACCTGGGCCTTGTTCTGAACCTCGTGTCCGGTCCTCCAAGTGTTGATAGCCGGTTGCCTTGGTCCCCGTTTGTCAAGCAAGAGCTCGCTAGGGCATTTCTCGAAGATGAGAACGCGCTCGGCGACGGATCCCCTGGTCAGGAAGGGTCTGATGGGATTGTTTCCGGTTCCAGTCGCCGCGGCAGCTCTGATGTGCTGCTTTTGCTGCGTGGTCAGCTCTGGATGAGGCACCTGCTCGATCCGGGGTCTCGGGGTGTAGATTCTGGGGCCCCATCTGGACGTCACTGGATCCTTCTCCTCCTTGACGGTCTCCTTATCCTTCCTTATCTCCTCGAACTTGGACCTGGTGGTGGAGACCAGCTGCTCCGTGGAGTTGAACGCGGTCGTTCCGCTGGTCTTCTGTTCCTCGAGTCTCTGCTGAGTAGGCGGGTTCTGTTGAGCAGCTCTGTACCGCACTTTCGCGTAATCCACCACCGACATGTTCGACAGATCGTCTTTGCTGAGCGATTTAGCGTCAGACGCGACGGTAGCGTTGGCCCCGGGTGAAGCGACGACGACATTGTTGACCATAGCCGCGGAGGCTGGGACCAGACCGGCACCGTGGTGATTGTGACCGATGATTATCGGCTTCACCGGCTCCACCTTTGGTTTCTCTCGCTTTATCGCCGGCTTCTGTCGACTCAGAGCGGGCACCGGTCTCTCCACAGGCTCCTCCGTGATCACGGAGCCCGTCTTCAGGGCGTTTATCAATCTCTCCTCTTCGCGAGCCACTTCGTCGAGGTACACGCTGGAGTTGGACCCGGTGATCCTCTTCTCCTCCTTCGTCGCCAACGACTTAACCTCCTGAACCGACCTCGCGGACCCGTCCCCTGATCTCTTGTTCTCGTTCAGTTTGTTCTTCAACGGCCACGTGGTCAGTCCAGAGTTGGCGCTCGCCGTGTCGTCCAGACTCGACGCCGTCGGTGAGGTGATCACGGTGCTGACGGGCCTCTTCTGCTGGACCGTCTTCGGCGGCGCCAGATCCGCAGGGAACGTGGTCTCGATGGTCTCCAGAAAGACCTCCCGATGATGAGCACCAGGAGTCTTTGCGGAGACCTGAGGCTTGACAATCTGCGAGGGTTTGTTCGCGAACGGCGAGGTAGGAGACAGCAGGACGTTCGTCTGCTTCGTCTTAGGCTGGCTCCCGACCCCGCCGCTCTTTAACGGGGACGTCTGCGGCTGCTGGAGCTGCTGCTGCGTCGAGTTCCTCTCGAACTTCTGCAGCGCGAACTGGATGGAGGACGGCAGCGTCTTGGACGGTGATCTCTGCCTGGACGCGGCCAGTCTGGCCTTGTCCTCCACCACGAAGTTGTTCACCAACTTCTCCAGGTTCCCGTTGTCCAGGTTCGGTGTCTGCGCCAGGATGTCCACCGCGGTGGGGGACGCGGCGCTCGTCGGCGACGTCTTCCCCGTGGCGTTTGGGCTGGTGTTCGCGGATGGCGTCAACGCGGTGCCGAACTTGTCGGCGGCGGTGGCGTTGCTGTGACAATTTAATATTTCCGTGGGCGCCAAGCCTCGACTCTTCCAGGTCTGATAGATCGCCTCCGCGTGATCGCTGATCTGCTTGGCGATCGCGGCGATGTCCTCGTCGCCAGAGGTGGACGTGTCCGTCGGGAACTTCCGACGTAGGTCGTGCTTCGCCGTCGCGGCCATTCTCGACCAACGTTTTTGAAACTCCTCCGGTTGCCGTTCGCGCAACTGGGGATGGTGATCGAGCAGAAAGCTCACGGCTCCTGCGCTCAGCTCGCTCGTGTGGTCCAGCACCAGCTCCACCAGATCGGGGCTACCCTCGACGGGCACCACGTTCACGGGGATGGCGTAACCGAAATGGATCGCTTGGCAGTCGACCTGTTCCTCGAGGGATCGCGACTCGTTCACCAGGCAGGCGTTCAGGTCCGGACAGTGGACGGCCCGACACGGTCGCGGATCGACGGTCACAGGAACGAACAGATCGCGTCGGGTCGCGCAGACCCGGCGCTCGATCGTCTCGATCTCTATCGACAGCTGTCGTCGGCCACCGACGCCACCACCCGCCCCCGCCGTTTCGCCGCTTAGCCTCGATGACGCTGCTTCCGTTATCACCGAGCTCGCTACTGCTGGCATATCTCAGGCCACCTGGCCCGAGAACCTCCTTCTCCACGGCCACGAGGGCAATCGAGCCTCGGTCCACGCGATCCTCGAGCCTCCTGCCTGTCTCCCCATTCTCCTCTTCCTAGTCTCTTGTTCTCTATGCTCGCTTCCCACGTAGCTCTATCGCCCGCTTCCACGAGACATAGGTTTCCGAGCAAAATAGGAGGCTTTATCGACGAGACGCTCGATACACAGCCACGTACGAGGTTATCCCGACGATATCCTGATCAACTATCGTTCAATTATGCGCGTCCACTTCTCGAGCGCAACGATGACTCTACATCTTTGCGTTCCTTCGCTGTGTCACGCGTCCGAGAGTGATCTGAAAGAAGATAAATATAAATTAGTATTTATCCCGGCCGATCTGGCTTGCCGTGCGTATTTTTGGACGTGATACGTGCTCTGAAACTGGCGGGTGCGATATCGTATAAATCTCACCCCTTTGTCCCGCGTACTCTCTACGCAATTAGAGATGATCTACAACAGCGGGGTCTACGTTTAGAAGCGTGCGCTATGCGTGGATCGACTCGATCTAGGGCACCGTCGCTTCCCTGTTTGTTGGGAAACATCAGGATCGAAGCTACCAGGAGATTCTCCTGTGGGAAGAACCGAACAACAATTCTGAGGAGTCTTTGGGCTTGGTGAAATATTCGGTTGTCCCAAAAGTTTCTTTCGTTTTATTAATAAGTGTTGATCGAGTTTATATTTTCCCGCTGCTATAATCAAATGTATCAGACTCACACACACACGAACGGTGTACGCGGATCAACCGGTGTCACGTTGCGTCTTAGCCAAAGCTTAAAATTGTATTTTTTGAAATAGTTTTTCAAATATATTCTATTTACTCGTACTGCCAAACTAGACCTTATTACGATTACCTGCGTAACCCAAATATCTAACGATAAGTAATACATACACGATATTTTATGTCTAATGTTACATTATTGAATTGTGTACGATTCATTTTGCTCCGTTACTGTTGCAACATCAGCATCTAAGAAATTAGATCGTCTATTTATATAAACACTACCGCACAAAATAATTGAGTGCAAATTATGAAAGAAACATTTGGGACAACCTAATATTTACAACTAGCCTCCCTCGTCGCGGACTCGCACGCGTATCATATCGTAGAATTTGGATTTATTGTAATGTGATGTTACAGAACTTCGAAATATACAACGTGTTTTGTTGTTTTTTATTGAGACGATTCACCGGACGCAATTGAAACATGATGATACCATTAACAGATGCAAGACGTTGTTTTAGTGCTACCTGACCGGCGACATTGTAGTTTGAAGCGAGCGGTGGCAATTTCAAATCTCCTCACTTACTTATTCTCATGGTTACAGCCAATCAATTTTAAAAATATATTATTTCACTGACTAACTGCCTTGAGCAGCTGGGACGTGACATAAAACTGGTGCGATTCAATCACTGAAATGATTTAATTTAGCACGTTGGTCGCCACGTCACTCAGAAATGGGTGACAAGGACTTTTCGTTAAGGAATCAAAAAAATTAATTCCAAATGCGAGGCAATAATGAAAATAAATCTGGATGGGATTCGTGAATTTGACGACGTTAAAAAATTCTACACTACGATAATGTTAACTTATCTAATCTTCAATAGTCTCGAGACATAATTTTAACTTTGTAATGATTTTCACGAGTTTTAACTTGGCAGCCGTCGTGTTAAAGAGGTGACAAAAAAATGATTAAAGTATTATTATTTAATATTCATCTTCAAGTTCATATATGTAATGTATTGTAATGTGAATGTTGGATGAATGTTTATATTTAAGCCATTAGGTATGTTTGTATGTTTTATAGTTGTCAGTATATGTTTATCAATTTGTGTTAGTAATTTATTGATCAGTCATTCGATTTGTATTGCGATTCGATTTTGTCTGATATATTGTGTGTTGCCTTGGAATTTTCACAGTTTTCGCCGAACCTCTAAATAAATATCCTTACATATATCGACTATTATAAACACAAGTAACTGGAAACTTTCTTTGAGATCCAATATTTGGTAGTCCCGAGCCAACTCCCCTCCAATCCCGCGTTTCGACTCTTGGCTTCGAGTCATCGCACGACAACGATAAACTCTTCTTCCTCGAAACCATCGGACGGGTGTGTTGACCCGTTCGTCGCGCATCCGAATTCTTTACGACGATCTCGTATCGCGAACGCGAAGAAAGAACGAGGATGCGACGCACGGAGAGGGGAACTGGCACACGCGCGTGTCTAAGAGGCTTTTGTCCAACCTAAAAGGCGACGTTCTATCGGTACTTTCACCCTGCATTGCTACGCGTATGCAAATGACCGCGTCCGATACGTGATCAGGCGTGCGTGAGCCGCTCGGATCGCGCTCGAATCGCTGGAAACCGCGCACGTTTCGCGTTCCTCGCGTTTTTCCTCGATCACCTCCCCTCTGGCCTTTATTCCCCTTCCCCTTAACCTCCGCCCACCGGTCGACCAGACCGCGGAAAAATTTGTACTCCGAGACGGAGTTTTCTTTGTCTCCGACTGGCCGTGCGCGTTTGGCAAAGCGTGCACGAGCACTCGCTGACGATGATCCTCGGAGTCTCTTGCACTCCGTCGACCCGTGTTTACGAGTCGCTGACTCCCTTGGACCGTCTTGGAAACAGTCTGGAGATTCCACTCTCGGAGCTTTTAGGTAAAACGACGCGCGATAAGAATTTCTTGGTCTCGATATGGAGATCGGGGAATCCTTGGTCTGGACCAGTTGATGGAGATTGAGGAACGTTGGATCGCGTTGGGTTCAACAGTCGGAGGAAGGTGGAAATTAATACCGCAAATGCTAGTTTTTTAGTAGAATGTTGATCGGGATCGAACACGTCCATCGATTTACATTTTACCGCATCTATTTTATGGTCGAAAACCATAAGTAGAGCAGAGTAGAGTTTTTTGATTTTACAGAGATTTATTATAAAAATGGACCGGATTTGATTCTATAGAACAATGCCTCGAGCGCAATCTATTTAACTTATTTTCTGCTTCGTTAATTATATTTGGGACAAGTTCATCCCGATACGTTCAGTTAGTACTTTTTTCAAATATTTAGAACGCGATATCGAAGACGGACTTGCTCTTTAAAAATGGCGTTCGATGGAACCAGGGTCACCGCCGAAGTTCGCGAAAGAAAATGCAACAAGCTCAACATTTCTAGTTCGACTTGATCGCTGCGAGCTACCAGCAGGAGCAACGTTCGATGTATCGATCTACGTAGTAATGAGTCATTTTTATTTGTTTACAAGTGACTTTGCGAGCGACAAGTTTACTTCGCGACGATACTCAAACGAATGGACATGCGTTGGCAGCAATACTACTCAATGCGTACTGAACCAGCGGTTTAGTGTTTCTGTCATAGCGCACATTTAAGTCATCCTTACCTCAGTCGTTCGCCATCACTGTTCTACATCCTCGACCACTTCGCGGCTAAATCTTTGCCACGGTTAGGAGTAGAGATGGCGTGAACTGCTACTTTTTGAATCACTCGTGATTCAATCACGTTCATTCTCAATCACGGTGGTTTTTCACAGTGATTCGTGATTTTTCGTGATCGCTTCTGATTGGTAGAGTACATTCTTTTCACTTTTCACGAATTATGTTGCTTCTTAGATTATATTAGGTTGTCCCAAAAGTTTCTTTCGTGAGTTGCATTCAATTATTTTCTGTGCCAGTGTTTATATAAATAGACAATCTAATTTCTTAGACGTTGATGCTGTAACAGTAATGAAGCGAAATGAATCTTGAAATCTTGAATCTGAAACTTTCGGGACAACCTAATATATTTGTCACGTTACGTTAAAAAAAAAAAAAAAACTTCAAACAGTATCTTTGAAGATGGTCGAATACAATGATAAAAGTTCGCATTTGCGTTCCTTGTATTTATTGTTAAAAAAAAAATTCCACTGATTACGCGAAAAATCGTCTTTCCAGCAGGAATCGCATTCCAGATTCTCCTGACGAGGTCAACTACACTTACGACGCAATAAACTGATGCGTTTATATTCCAAATTCTACTGTAAATGGTTCGTCATTAGAACCGTACGAATACTTATTGCTTCTATATTTCTGCCGATTTTTCGTATTTTTTTGTTGATATCGCAACTTATATCAACAACCAATTTTTTTTTGTACTATAACTATTCTAGAGATTTCCAAGAATATGTAGAATATCAATGTTTATAAAAAAAGAAGTTAATAAATTAAAATTTCACGTAGTTTTTTTGGAAATTGATCGGTGTACGAATACTTTCTACATCCACTGTAGGATGTCTAAACGAAAAATAAGCCACGTGGATTCGAAGCCACGATCCTCGGATCCACAGTCGACCCGCTTTACCTACAAGACCAATTCCGTACCTTACGTTTCGTGTTCTTGTTTGACTCCTTATTTTTGGGTATGTGAGGCGCGGATACTACATACATGTATTATAACATGGTCTAAAAGCAATGTTAATATAATTTTACTACAATTTAAATTTGACTCATTTGTAGTTTCTTGAATTTCCGCTAAGGGGAGACAGCGCGACCCTAACGATAACAATTCACATGAACCGCTTTTGAAACGCCATCTTCCGGATCACGATCGTGATCGAAATTTAATCACGACTGCGATCGTGATTGTGTGATCACCGTGAATAATCATTGTCAGTGATTTTTCACGCCATTCCTAGTCTCAATCTTTGCCACGGTTAGGCCACACTATGCGTTTTCGCCGCAGCGGTTATGACGGATGCGGTCATCCGGTTTGTGATGTTGCATAGATTCGAATGAGAGGTGGTACACTAGTACGGCGCTGCCGCATCCGTCGAACGCTACCGCAGCAGACTGCGGCACGCTGAACGCACCGGACTGCCACATGGCGCCGAAGACGTGTCAAAACACAAGAATCACAAGAAAAACAAGAGTTGCCGCATGCATCGTCCTTCCGAACTGTGTGTTCTGCTTTGAAATATATGGTTTCAAAGTTTCTAATAATTCATCGAATGAATTTATCGAAATTCGGTAATATTGAAAAAACTTGTCCTCGCAATTGCGAATGTTAGCAAAAAACTTTTTAAATCGATTATTAGATTCTCGCTCCGAAAAAAATGGATGAACCCAATAATTACGAACTATCGATTCACGCAACAACCCTTCTGCTTCTATAACACAAGGAATTTTCAAAAATTTCTTCGCGTTTATGTTGACGTATTGACAGTTCAGGCGAGATTGACTGCGTTAAAAGCGCAGCAATGTATTAAGTAGTAGGCTTCCAGTTAAATCGTGTCCGCTTTCGCAGCAGCGG